TCCGTGCCTGTTGACGCGGCATGCGTGCTAGAGGCGAAAGGTTCATTCTCGCTTGGGGCGCAAATTCTGGGTGCGATTTTCTCCGGGACGGCATTGACCTAACTGAGAAAAGTTTATGCAAACCATCCCACGGAGGTGAGGACAGATTCTTCAGTTCGTTTAGATCGGGGGCAACACACAACGGGTCTGACTGATGGTAGGTAGAGGGGGGGGGATGGGCGATAACTGATCTTTCTTACGGAACTCACTCGTTCCTTTGTGCCTTACGGGCTCTCTCTCAAGCCCAACCAGCAGCCGCACGGCGGCGCATGATACAGGCAGAATTTTACTACCGACAAAGACATGGGAGAATGGAATGGCCATTTCCGGCCATCCACCAGTCATACCCGAGGTGTGGAACACCTGGGGCTCGAACTCGCGACCTTTTTGTCATAAGTCCAACGCCTCTGACCAGTGAGCCACGGACCCGTTGTCCTATCGGTTGCCTTGTCCTGACTGAGTAGTTTAGGTGGATTGACGACACGTTGGCGCGAATCCAGGATGTAAACGGTGTGATTGCTTATCATCGAAGGCGGCTGGTGCCCATTCCCTAAAAATTCCCGACACCCCTCCACCCCTCTGGATGTTAGCTCGCTATCTCGTTCTACTCCAGCATCCTTCACGGTCATCTCATACAGTTGCCCCCAGCGCTGCACTCCCCATCGGTAGCTTAGTGGACATGACGTGACCACCTCCTCCTTCTCCTCCCTCTTTTTCGACTAGATCAATTTCTCACGCTCCAAATTCACGCCTTTTTGTTGTGGGGATAAACAAGTCTGCTCAGAGCTTCCAGACACATTTCCAGTTTCGGACTGATGGCCTGGACCACGTCTCACGTTCGTTGGAAAATGGTCTGCTACTGAATAAACAGAAATCAACACAGTGTGCTTTCCAGCTGCGACCCTCTCCCAGTCCTGAATATTTGGACATAATTCCCAGCAAGATATCCTCTTTCTGACACGCTAAAAACCATTTAACAAAAATTTGCAGTCTTCTCTATTACACTTACTGTCTGCCTTTCTATCACACCCCTCAACCCCTAGTCAGGAAACTCATAATTGCCTGCACTCGCTCTGTACTTTTTTATTGGGCTTCGGCTATTTTTCCTGCTTTCCTTAGTTAGTTTTCAAACGAGTTCTCCTAATGCTCTCTTCTGCCGCTGGTGTTCCTTATGTCTTTTTATTCGATATTGTCCTACAAAGACATTTCGCAGATCGAAGTCCGGATGATGTTGTTCATGCCCTTTACCCTGACTTAATTTCTGCGAAGTCCTTCCGTCCCATGCGCCGAAGCTTTCGACATATCTTTTGCCGTACATCGGCATAAAAGCGTCCCGCATTGACACTTCTGGCATGATACCATTACGTGGAAAAACACAAACACAGAAAACGGAAACTTAGACTGTCCTCGTAATGCATACTCCTTTTTATGCAAACCTTTGGCCCTTGCCTACTTTGTTCATTTGTCCCCTAGTCGCAGTGAATAGAGATCTTTTTATTGAAAGTTCTTAATGATACTTTCAAAATAAAGCGTTTTCCTCTTTCCATCTCCCACTCTCGCTCTCTCTATTCTGAGTTTTCTCGACGTTTCCGGTTGCTACAACTGTGAAGCAGAGAAAAGAACATCGTGCTATTTTGAAGTGGCGGGGGCGTTTTCGACCTTGAGAAAACAAAATTCCAAATTTGGTCGTCTTCGTGTTACGAAGCAACTCTGTTATGCTAGTTATCTTTTGAGCATCTTCGGGATGGCCAGATGGAAACAAGTTTCTTAGAGTTAGCATTAAATTTAGGTCCCCGAAGGAGCGGTTAGAAGTGTTGTGTGTTAAGATGGCAAATAAGGGGCTTCTTTTGAGCGCAAAGGAAAATTTACCTTCAGAGTGCATTGAAACTGGAAACATTGTGCAACATTTTAGGGCGCATTGCCGCAGACTTTCGATGATGGGATAGGATGCTGATTCTAGATTAGATGGTGAAGGCGACTGTTAACTAAACAGAGCAACAATTTTTTTCACTGTGTGGTGCATTTATAGCCTCGGTGATGTTCAAAGAAGTGTGAGAGAGTGAAAGTTTGTTCGATTAGACACTGGTGACCTTGACACAGAAACGTGAAACATGGCAGCGAGCGCATTTTGAAGTACAACACCTAAACGAAAACACTTTTGCTGCAAAACTCCTGGCACACCTATCATAGACTTTCGCCAGGTATGTCTGTTCTTTGGTACTTTGGAGTCATTTTTGGAGCGACTTCAGAATGCAGTAGAAAGCAAGCGATGCAGGAGGCACCTTCTAGAGGAGCAAATTGGCTAAGATAATACTTGCACGATCTGCCTTAATCTACTAGCTTCAACAAAAGTGAGACTATTGTTTTTTCTTGCGATTTACAGATAAACGTCGGTAAAGCGTGGTTATGTAGCCCCACCTGATAAACATAACACGTTGGTTTTTGGGTTAGGGGTTATGGTTAGATTTAGGGTTAGGGGTTAGAGAAACTACTTCTCAACCAATTAAAGTGCAACCGCGCATTACCGATAGCTTTTCTTTTGCATACAACTACTTGACCTCGTCGCAGGTGCGTTCCCCGGGCAAACCTGCAAAAACCCCCTATTACCACCGGCCCCGAATTACAGGTGGCTGGGGTTTGCTTACTTCTGATGGGCTGCATAATCATATCTGAGCATAACGTCAAAACTGATGTAAGATCCCTCTCCTAGGTAGGATTAATTGTGCTTCAGATTCCAACATATCAACAATTCAAACTGCTTGGCAGGGCTTAGGAAGAACTATTTTCACAATGCTCATCCACCCTTCGAGCAGAGGCAAGAAGAAACAGCTAATCAAAAAATGACACACCACCTTCTTTTGAAATCGTTAGTGGATATTAAGCAGCTGGATGAATGCCACACTGTATGCTTCATAATTATTGAGGGTAATTCGTCTGACTAATTGTCATAACCAGTTTTTTGGACTTTAATTTTCATATTTGGTTTCGCTTATTATACGTTTTCTGCCTCCGACGATGTCACATGTCGTTGCATATTCACGTGTACTGGCAAACTTGAACTGTCTGCATTTCTAGCATCTGTGGCACCCCCACAAGATTTCATTTGGTCGAGAATGAATGCTGTCTTTCCCCTACCTCTCCGCGATTTCCTTTCTTTCCCTGTCTTATTTCTATTTAAAAGCTTTATTTTGTGTTCTCCTCAGGGAATGCGAGCCAGAGACATGGTTTCGGGGATATCGCGTTCGCTGGGAAAATTTGTACTTAAAAACCTCAAGCCGTACTCGTAGACGACGCAGATGTTCCACGGATGGGGTCTCTCTGATGGTTCATGATCATTTCACCGAACCGAAGTGCACTAGCGCCACACCACTTGTCAAGCTCTGTCGCTGCGGCCGGGTTATTTATTCACTCAGGACTAGGTGCACACCGACCCACGCGCCTCCCTGAGCGTGCTTCGAGTCCTGTTTGCGCCCTCGGCTAGATCGCAGTTGGTAGCCCGGACCCGCATTACAGTTGGCTGGGGGTTTTTTTACTGGGGTTATTTGGTGGGGCTCCATAATCACATCCGACACATTTGGCTTCCGTTTTACGTTTGAGGTTAGGACTAGGGTACCGGTTAATGGTTTCCGATTTTCCGGTTAGGGTTATGCCTTTAGGCTTAGATTTTCGGGTTATGGTTAGGGTTTGAGCGTACGAATAGATTCCAGTATTACGATGACGTTTCTCAGTTACGGCTTCATCTAAGGGCTAGGTTACGTTTACGATTTCGGCTAGGTTTAGGGTTAGGGTTGCCTTTAGGGTTATCGGTTAACGGTAACGGTTGAGGTTAGGGTTAGGGTTAAGGTCGCCGTCCGCTTCCCATTCCGGGCTACCAACTGCGATCTAGCCCTCCGTCGGTTCCACTGCAATGGCCATGCACAGCGAATTACCACGCGGTTCACCCAGTGGCCTTCCAGGTGTGATTACACCCTCCTTTTTCTACTAATCCAGCAAGTGCCTGTGTCGCGGGGAGACTATGTACACGCCACCTTCACTCACTTTCCTGAGCGTACTTTGAGCTCTGCTCGCGCCCTTATTCCCTTCCTACTCCAGCGGGTGGGATAAGTTATGTATGCCATCTAATGTTTTTTTTAGTAAGCTAATAATACGGTATCAGTCAAGTGGGACTGCAAAACAAAACCTCGCAAATAGGACAAACACCAGTGTTCATTCTTCGCCATCGTCAGGCGGACTGGGCAAGAAGTTCTAGACTAGAGATCCGAGACATAGTGGAGTGGTTTGCGGTTAGTCCAGAAATCTGGATAGATCGGTGAGGGGTACTCCTGTGTCACTGTCACATCCAACTGTATATGAGTCTGTGGCCTACTGGCAGAACACCTGCCTCATTACCATTTGAGTCTGGTGTCATTCCAGACTGCTGCCAATGGCAGATGCGTTCAGCATTGGCCAAAATGTTCGGGGACAGTTTCTTGTGGAGGCGGCCATATGATGAAAAGATGTGTGTGTGTGTTCTGTCCCCTTGTGTGTGTGTGTGTGTGAATGGGGGGCTGGAGGAGGCGGGGGAATAGGAGAGAGTGTAGGTAGATGCTACGCAAGTCTACTGGCACTATAAACCCCCTGCGTAAGTCACCGTCCCTGCTCCCGCCGCTGCTGCAGCTGTGGGGCTCACGGTGGACATCGTCGAAATCGACGGTAGAACTGTCGGGGGGCTGGATGAAAAGATGTGTGTGTGTTTGTGTGTTCTGCCCCCTTGTGTGTGTGTGTGTGTGAATGGGGGGCTGGATCGTGTGCGCGTCAGGCGCAGACGAGCTTTATATCTTTTTCAGCCACTGCGCCCATTCTCCGTACCAGACACCTGACTGTCCGGGACAGTGGCTGGCTCCTGGAAGCGAGAACGGAAGCTGAGGCTGACGTCTCAGCACATTTTTTTCACTATAAACAATCAGACACACTTGCGGCTATCACGGCGCACTAAGAGCCATGGATTGGAAGTTTGCCGACAAACGGGATACATTAGGCCTCACAATCAACCCGGTGTGGAGTTGTCGACTGGAGGATTGAGATTCAGGCTGTAATGGTTTTTCCTGAACGAGGTCTGTATGGCACTCCCACTCCGCGGAATTCGAACTGGGTGCGGCGGCAGGACTACGGGCGGCTCCGGCCGCGCCAGCCGCCTGTGCCGTCTCCCATCTCCAGGTTTCTTGACTCTGTCTTGACACAGGGCTCAGGTGGAGGATGAGGAGGAGGAGGAGGAGGAGGAGAAGGAGGATGGAGTGTGATAGATGCCCTGCAAGTCTACTATCACATTCACGTTCAAGTCACCGTTCATGTTCCAACCCTGTTGTGCAGCACACGGTGGGCATCGTCGGTCGGACGTGACGGTCGGACAGTCGTGTGCGTGTGGTATTCCATGTGTCTACTACCCAGTGCAACGTCAAGTTGGCAGGACAAATCTACGGGAGCGCATTTCCCAAGGGAAAAGTGAAATGTCTGCCTACGACCTCATCGGTCACGTGGGCGGCTTAAATAAGCCCTGTGAGGACACTTCTGTTGATCCCGACCCACCAACTCGACTAATGTAAACCTGATAGACTAGGTCAAACCATCACTGTTTCCACCGGTGGTGACTTGAAGTCTGCGCACTCGGAAATTGCCGTGCTGCCTATCCCTCCGCCAGACAAGGTTAGGCGAAAGCAGCTGCCGAGGAATAAACAATGTCCCTGGAGAGATTTATGACAGGTCAGCACTTGTCGAGTGGCGACTTTGGATATTGCCAAAAAGTGCTGCATGTGTCTCAGATCAGACAAGTGCATTAATACACCCGTGGATATCAGGCTACATCAATGTGGGCCGCCCACAACTCCCCTTACCAATGGCACTTTTGCAAACCGAAATAAATCGTACCCATGAGGACTGCATGCTTTACTACAAAATTAGCAGGCAAATGAATTTGTGTGCAGCTTTTGAGGAAATTTGGCTGGATTTATGAAAGGAATCCCAAGTTGCTGAGAAAAATACGCGCTAATCACATAGGGGCCTCTCCCAATTCTGGTGGACATAAATAGCTAGAAGAATCCTCACATGAAAGGCAGCATGCGTCACGCACGATCGAGCCTTATATTCTATTCCATGTTGGCTAGTATTTTAAGCGCATTACAAAACGCGTTCTGCTTGAGAGAACATTTAAAGCATTTCGTCAATATTTAATGACTATCGGCGCACGCTGTTTGATACTTTTTCTGTGCTATTGAATGCCTTTTCGACACCGAAAGTCTGTTTGTGCTCAAGGAAACGGCAAGTAGGCTCGGCTGCAGAATGAAGCATTTCTTGTCAGTGTTTGGTGAGAGTGACCAGCGGATGGTAACCGAAGGCATCAGCATATGAGAGAGAGCACGTAGGTGAAAGAAGTTCAGACCGAGCTTCTTCTTCTTGTTCTTTATCAGTAGACACTTTGTTTTTTTAATGTGAGGAGACTCATTGCAATTCGAGACGCAGCCGTGATCACAACCAAGCAGACTAGCATGAAATTCAACTGATTGCATATTCCTACCAGGTGTACCGTCTTTCAAGCTTGAGACCAAGTCGTGACAACTGTGGACGGGCGTATGAGCGCAGTGGTTGAGGACCCCGTACAGGGTCTTCCCTCACTCTCCAGCCTCTCGCATGTCCCAGTGACCGATCCAAGCCTTTCGGTCGGTCAGTGTTGCGACTGGATACAGTGACCGACTTGTTGTGAGCCTCCATCTGACGAGTCTTACAGACATTCGCCGCAGTGGTTGAGAACTCGCACATGCCTAGTGCGGCCTGAGTAAAGCACGCATCTGGGAGAGTGATCCGCGTTCCCTTGTAAGGCTTGATTGGTTCAGCCTGGTTCAGGGGCATGTTGCCACTTCCACTACGACTCACCACCACCACCACCACCACCACCACCACCACCACCACCACCACCACCACCACCACCACCACCACCACCAGCACCACCAGCACCACCAGCACCACCAGCACCATCACCACCACCACCACCATGATCATTATCAGTATACGCGTCACCAGCTGCACATAGTAAAGGCTTCTTCTTTATCATCACTGTCATTATTACTGTCACGCCTGCATTTTCTCGTCAGTTAGGACAGGATTGCAATGTTCGCGGTGAGCAGCGCCGAGCTTATGGCAGATTAGGTGAACTAAACACTGCTACGCACGTTATGACAGCGTTGCATTACCTGAACACCCTTGACCCCTTTCCGACAAACTACGACGAATTAAGATCTTTTTGGAAAAGTCGAAGAACCTTGATCTATATGATTGGTCGACCAGTTAACCCACATTCGGACGGCTGGGCATACAGTCTATGAGTTCCCGTCAGGAGACTGGAACGGTTTTGCTCCCCCGTCTGACAAATACGTAGTCGCGAGCCATAACTACGGGTCTTCCGCCCCGGATTTTCACGATAGTCCTCGACTTCTGCAGTGCATTGCGGGTGCGATTAACTCAAAGTTGGCGTTAATTAAACGGGCGAAGTTTGTTTCTGCAGCCCACTTGACTGATACCATACGGTTAGCCTACTAAAACCATATTAGTCAACATACCCAAATTAGCCACTCGATGGATTAGGATCAGGGCGCTGGCAGAGCTCGAAGCACGTGCAGGGAAGCGATTGAAGGTGGCGTGAACACACTCCCGGCATAGCCACTCGATGCATGAAGATTATAAGGGAGGGGGGGGGCGTAATCACAACTGGAAGGCCACTGGGGGAACCGCGTGGCAACTCTCAGCGTATGGCAACTGTGGTGGAACCAACGGAGTTCCAGGCCATCCGAACAATTCCATTATCAAGCCAACTTATCCGCTCGATGGATCAAGATAATAAAGAGGGCGTAAACAGGACTCGAGGCACACCCAGGGAGGCGCGTGGGAACTGAGACTGGAGTATGAACACACCTCCTTCATGGCACAGTCACTCGCTGGATTAAAGTGGCAAGGAAAGTGCGAATACGTGATAGTTGTGAAGTCATCGTATTCATAACTACCAAAATGTTTTTAAAAACTAACCATATGTTATCAGTCAGGTGGGACTACAGGACCAAACCTCGCCATTAAATCATGTAAAGCCCTCCTTTTTAGATGGGGAGCCTTCCGCATCTTTTTAGACTTCAGTCTTTTGGGACGTAAAAGTAGTGAAAAAATCCCCCAGTTCAAACAACCTCTTATCGTGCGAGCGATAACTGCAACAGACTCTTCATTGTCCACGTTTGACACAGCCCCGAAGGCCTGCGTGTTAACTGACCGTCGTTTGGCCACGCCCATTTGCTGCAGTAAAATTATGCAAGCAACTTAAGCAAATTATTAATAAAACCTGCCTGGCAGATTGCAAACGATGGAGTCAGCAAGTTACGAGAGGCTAGGTTAGGGAGATTTCAAATGGAGTCTCCATTAGGAACAAAAAACCGAAACAGCAGGAGCTCAGAGGACCGACCGCAGTTGTCTAATGACTCCGCTCTCGTAAAGCGGCTGACGGCTACTCCCCGTACAGCGTATTCCAAAGTTCAGCAGGCAGAAGTGAGGGGAATATTGCTGGTGGGGGAAAAAACGACGCAATTCATCGACTCAGGCTGAAACAGCGGGCTCGCGTGGTTAAGTGAGGTGAGAGGAAATGGGGAATGAGTGAACGGTGGTCCTTCCGGTTAGACATTAGGGCTGAATTATTGGCAGTACGGACCAAGCCTCCACCCCGTTCGCAGAGGACTACGCCCAGAACGGGGGCACTGGTTCTTTCATTCATTGGGTGGAAACTTCTGCAAAAATCATCACCCTGGTAGAGACAAAGTGGCCCAGTGCTGGGACGTGTACTCTTGTCCATTTGTGCATCATTTAAAAATCCCATCTAGTCTTCCTCTAGTGTTACAGGATACCAACTTCTCTGTCCTGACATAATGAAAAAGGGGACACCATCGCTGGGACAAGTGCTTTATTACGAATGGAAGAGAATACGCGCATCCCAGGTTCTAGTTTAAAAGAAGACGGAGGCACGATCACTGGGACGGTAGATTTATTGACCTTAGCTTTCGAACTCGAAATGGAGTTCATCATCAGAGACTGCTAGAGTGTAGCAACGTGTGAACATTTATATCGTTGTTCCGTGCGGGGGGGACTACGTCCGTGGCTAGGTCTGGCTTGTGCCGCCTGGTCCACTATGGTCCCCCGACGTGGTGACGCCGTTTGTACTTCCCGACGATGTGAGCTGCGCCAACTGGTTGCGTGGGCGGAGTACGTGATAACACGCAGGCAAATCAATGTGTCTATTGATAGAGCTAGTATCCGACACCAACGCCTCCAACAGTTCTCGCCCCGTCTTGTTGTCGGCTCGCGCCAATATCCGCGTGTTGGCGAAGTCGAACTCATGGCCTTCCTCCAGCCTGTGAGTGACGACTTGAGATAGTGCGCCGCCTCTCCGAACGGCCCCTTTGTGCTGATGTATTCGTGAGCTGAGACGTCGTCCTGTTTGGCCTCTGTAGTGGCAAGGACGGTTTTGGCACGGGATTTGATAAACTACGCCCGACTGCTTTGTTAGCCTGACGTTTCGGATTCCTGCTCGAACCCATCATCTGAGACAATAGCAGATACGAGTGGTTCATGCTAAGGTGACTGCAGTATTTATACGATGCAGTCGCCATGTTACTGCATACCTATGGATATTCACGGCTCCCCCTTCATCAGCGATTGTTTCACTTTGTCTGATGACCATCTGATGGCTGACATTCGCGTCGTTAATTGCTGCAATTTCATCACGTGTGTTGAATGTTGGTGTGATGATGGCTCGGCAACCAGGCCCACCGACACTGGCGTTTGGAGCAGTGTTCACCTGTTCGCTCCCCGCATGGCTAATTACACTGCCTAGGTGAGGTCTCAGCTCCGAGTATGGAAGGGGAAGGTCGTTACACCTGTTACTGGACTGTGGGCCAGTAAACCATGACTCAAGCAAATCCCGGGTCACGCGGTTGTCACCTCTAGCGAGAATTTCGGCCTTGTCGGATTTGGATATGTGGCCCGATCTCGCCGAATGAGCCGCAGCTTAAGAGCTTGCGTCTCTTCGTTTTAATTTGCTATAATCCCTAATCCTAAATTTAACCTAACCTCCTGGGTTTTCCGCGCGGGGAGCTATTTTCATGTCCTACCAAAGCGCCATCGAATCTTCCCCGTCTCGCTGACGAATTATCCCAGGTAGTTCTATTTTGAAGCAGTTCAATGGCCTGGTACCAGTCTGGTGGTCATGAGACCGCGTGCACATGCGTATGGCTATGGAGGAGTCTTGTGTTTCAAGATAGTAACACTCGCATAGCCATTTGGCTACTTTGCCGCCATCAGGCGGTACTACCTCAGCCCCTGATCGACATCTGGGTCTTTGTTCTGAGTTGGTCAGTAACCGTGGTTTCCGACTAATGGTACATCCACCCACTGAAATCTTGGCCCATTTTGTGCTAACCAATAGGGTGCGTTGAGACGCCTATGCGCGGGTCCGCGCGCCGTCAACGCCGGATCCCGCCTCCAGTCTCCGTAAATCTGCTTTGACACCGGACAGGGGTGAATGAAGGAGGAGGGCGTGAGAAAGGTGGAACGCAAGTCTACCATCACTACAAACCAACTCACACGCAAGTCACCTTCCCACGCTGTGAGACACACGGTAAATCTCGCAGAAGACGATGATTGAAATGTCACAATACCTGAGGCTGGTGACCAAAAAAACCCGCAAATCTCCTTCACTAGGTTCGCATAAGCAGATTTCAAATCAGCAAGTAATTTTGCAGGGGATCTGGTGTCTATACAGACCATGTCTTCATTGAAGAGAAAAGTATTTGCCTGCTTCCTTCGGATGATCTTCACTTCAGATAAAAAGGGCATATGAAGCTTCCTACGATGCACTAGGCACGCACACAGTCGCCCTATTTGTCTCCCCCCACCACCACCATCACCATCAACAACGACATCACCTCTTTCCTGTCGTTGAACGGCCTTTTCTGCTGGCACTTAGCCACCCGCAGGCATTGGGGTGGCACCGCATTAATCCCCTCCAAAGTGACATTTCACGCGACAGCCGGCAGCGGGAGGAAAAACTGCGAAAGTGTAACTTGGCGATGACAGAGATCACCTCGCCTCCTTTTCGCTGCATTGACGGAAAAGAGTTTGACACTGTGAGCTAAAAGAAAATGTTAACACGGAGAGCTTTAGCTGGCAAAAATCGGGTGATGCTGCGTCGGTAACGTGTGGGAAGAGACATGTGTTTCAAGAACCAAAGTCACGTTAATTCTGAAGACATTACTGTAAGACTTAACGTCATGATTCCGTACTGGCCAATAGAGTGCACTGATTCAGTACAAGCCAGATAGATAGACCCGCTAGATACAAAAGGAAGGTAAGTTATGCTTTTAGCACATAGCACAGGGACAGCACCGGTGACTTGCCCACGAATTAGTTTGAAGTGGGGCATACTGACGTGACCTCTCCCTATCCACCTGTCACCAATGGCAGGATAATGTCAAGACGACCAACTGTGGGTGTGGGCCCAGGGACTGGCAAAGATTAACGGCCGTCTTCGCGCGCCACTCACGCAATTCGGGCTACTTAAGTGGCCGCCCGGATTTCACATGGGCGAGGGGTCCACAAAGGCCAAATCAGGTAGGAGTCAATTCAGCCTAACTCTCGATTCTGAGAAAAGTCTAGTTATCCCATCGGTTGGCAGTGACTGCAGTTCGAACATCAGACAAGGTAATAGGGTCACGTTGAAAACCACTTGCCTCATCAAAAGTAAAAGTGAGAATACGTTATTCGCAGGCGACGTCATTATGAGCAACAAAACGGCAGTACAATGTTAACGGGGTCTTTCTGTTCGATGTCGGCCTCCAAAAACATCACCTACACCTCTTCCTCCGTCACCGACTCGCCGAGGAAGTGCGTAGTCCTCTTGATTTGGTTGGGTTCGATGATCGAGTCGCTGCTGAGACCGAAGTTTCGGAAAGTCAAATAAGTAGCCGTAATAGACGAAACGGTGAATGCAAATGAAAACAAAAGACGGATGAGTTGAAAAAA